AGACGCTATCCAATAGAAAGGAACAGAATGCCATAGAACACAATGAAACATAATTGAACACCATATAATGAAATAGTATGGAATGGAATAGAATGAAACATAACCAAACACAACACAGACAGACTTCAGTGGGATATAAATGGAATAAATACTCAAAGAAATAAAATAAATTATTGCCCTGAACTCATTAAAGAAAGGGAGGGGCAGGTTGTTCCGACAGGCCTGGGGCTAATGAGCTTTTGTCCCCCCTCGAATGGTATGGTTGTTGTGTGCTTTTAACTTGTGTATTGTTCTGTTCGTCTTTTTTATTCCTTATTTGTACCCCGCCCCCCTTGACTTGGATTGTGAGCCGCCCTGAGTCCCCTTTGGGGAAAAGGGCGGCATAGAAATACAATAAATTCAATTCAATTCAATTCAATTCAATACTGCTCAACAAATCCAAATAGAATAAATAAATTGTACACATCATGCTCATGTCACTCTCGGCTTACTTACCTCTTGAGTGACGGTTTGCTTGCAGGTGTTCACGATCTTCTGAAGTCCTTTGGAAAATTCGATTTCTGAGGCCAAAAAAAAAAAAAAAAAAAAAGGACAAAAAATACTGCTGTGATCCAGATTAGGTTTTGTTGACATTAAAACGCAAGTGTTCAGAGATTTCTGCCATGGCATTGAGAGTTGAAGAATCATTTTTTTTCCCTCCAGATCTCTGGAGAACAAGATAGAGCTAGAAGTAGAACATTTCTGAATGTCCAGGTGCTTTGACCATTAGGAATTTTGATCACATGACCATAGGGAATGTTGCAAACAGTCATAAGTGTGGAAAATGGTTATAAGTGCCTTTTTTTCAGTGCCATTGTATCTTTGGACAGTCACTAAATGAATGGTTGTAAGTCAAGGACCAGCTGTAATGGTAATTATTAGGATTTCTTTGAGCATTGGTTTTGCAAAACAACATAAAATAATGTAGACCAGGGGTGTACAATTTAATTTCGTTGAGGGCTGCATCAAGGTTATATTTGACCAGTGGGGGAGGATAGAGGTGGTATTCTACTGGTTCAGACCGGATCGCCTGAACCGGTAGCAGAAATTACCGGTGGCTCCGCACACCTGCGCCCAGCTCTACGGCATCCCGTTTAGGCCATTTTTTCCGCCAAAAGTGCATGCGCAGAAGGATCTGAGCATGTATGACAGTGGTGCATGCAAGAGAAGCGAGCACGCTCAAATTTGCAAACCAGTAGGGAAGGTAAGTGTATACCGCCCCTGGGGAGCGGCAAGTGGGCATGGCCAGCTCAATGTCATTTGCGTCAGGGGTGCCTGTGGTGGCTCGAGGCCTCTGGCAGCAAAAACCGGCTCCCAAGCTCTGTTTTTGGCTGTGACAGCTTCCTGTAACCCTCTGCCAGCAAAAACGGAGCTCTGTTTTTGCTGGCAGAGGCATCGCGGGCCAGTCCTTCATTGTTCCCAGGTCAGCCCTGTGGGTCAGATCTAAGCACTCCATGGGCCTAATCGAGCCCACAGGCCTTGAGTTTGAAGTCCCTGATTGACTGGAGACTTTGGCACTACAGAAACCTCACTCCCCAAAGGCATAGAATCAGCTTAGCTATTCCCCTTTGTGGTCAGCTCACCCAGAATGGTCCTCTTCTCCATATAGTAGATAAGATCCTTCATGTACTTGGAGATGCTCTTGGAATATTTGAGGGCAAAGTCTACCCCTCCATCACACCTCTGAAGGAGCACGTTCACCTCTTCAACTGACAGGCGTGCTGCATCGCAGGAAAAGTAGCAAATGAGTGATCTTCACCTTATTCTTTGGTTGCCCAAAATCTAATTTTGCGCAGCCCTAAAAATAGGCTAATTTCATATACTCTTCAGCTAATGTCAAAAGCAACCTTTTCTGAAATCGATAAAAGTCTGATTAAATCAACATTCTCTTCATGCAGCGGTTTCCAAATACCACAAACAGCATCGTAACGCAACAGTTGTCTTTTTGTAATGTTTAATTGTGTGAGCACTGATGGAGAGCAAAGGAAGAAGAATTGCAAAGAAAACCTGAGCTCCAAAATGCAAAATATCAGAGAGAACTTTTTGCACAGCTAAGCTGAAGCATTTCCTATCCAGCCTTAAGTCAGCCCCAAACTATTGCAGCATGAAATTTGCTGCCTTCCAAGGTAATGGTTGATGTAGCCTAACACATTTTAATTGCCCTTGGGTAGTATCAGAGTAGGGATGAAAAGTTTACTTCAACACTGATATAACCAAAGATAATTCAAGCTCATGTTTCACCCATGAGCTAAAAATGGGATGAAACTGATGTTATGGAAACAGAGCAGAATTAAGAGGTTGCCAGGACAAGCGTGTGCAATAATTAGGAGCATGAGAAAGAATTTGAATTATTTTTCTTCTAGGTATGATGGGTAAGCAGTTGGAGAAAAAACATGGGACTTTCTTTTATATATGACTAGTTGATAACCCGGTGTTGACCAGGTATTTATTTATAGGGGGAAAATGTCCAAACCAAATCTAATTTCTAATGTTGGATTTTTCCCCTTACCAGAGGGTGCCCCCTTGTGGAGTACCGTGAAGCTGTTACCATGGCAACTCCACAGTGCTGTACAGTAGAAGCCATTTTACGGCAGTACAGTAGAAGCTATTTTTAAGGCACAACAGGCTGTATCTTAACAGAACACACACACCCCAGTGGTGTTAGGGGTGTCTTACCCCCACAGTATTTGTTTCTAGAGAGTAAGTCATCTGTGTATCAAGTCTGATTGAAGTTGCTCAAGGCATTCCAGAGTTATGCAGGAACACACACACACACACACACACACACACACACACACACACACACACAGCCATTTTTATGTACAGAATGACATTTCCTTTTTAAAATATATTTTATTCTTTATTGAAACACACACACACACACACACACATAAAAGAGGAAGCATCAGAATGATATCAACATTATTTGTTTATGTTGCATAAATTCACAAGAAGCCAGTAAGGGAATAAAAATCATAGCAAAGAAGATTCTTACCTGAGCTGAAATCATGCAGCACATCTTCTGGTCCCAAATTTGTAATGCCCCCATATAGATTTTCCACCGACTACAAGGGGGGGAAAAAAGTTACCCTCAGAGCCTTTAAAGACACCTCTATGATGTCAGTTCTCTTATTCTATCCTTGCCAAAATTTTCCCTTTTTATGGGGACGGTGCCTTAGTTCTCTTGCTCCATTAAAAAATCCTCATCGGCATTTAATGACCCCATAATTCCTTGCGGGGTGTGGGCAACTGAATGGAGCTACCAGAGCATTTAATGGCCGGATGCCCTTCCTGTCGCCAATGCGGAGCTTTGTTCAGCAGATATATCCTCATTGTGCCTCCTGGTTGCGAGGTGAGAGCGCCACCTCTAGGCCAGTGCACCATTCTGCCTCCATTAGAAAATGACATAGGTAAAAATGTGAATGAAACAAAGGGACATGATCTCCTTGTTCACCCTATCCTTCTGAAATAATTATACTGAAAGATATAAGGGACCCTGAAATCCATTAGCAGGTTCAGTCCATTCGAAATCATACATTCGTTTCATTTTTAATTGGTGTATAGGGCCACATGCTACAGTTTTCTATAGCTTTTAGATCCTTAGTCCCTTCAAATCCCAAGCGGTTGCCATGGTGGTATTTCCAATTACAGAGCAAAACATTCGTGTAGGGCAAGGCGGTTGAAAACGATTAAGGGGGAAGCCTATACTACTTTAGAGACTTCTCTTATAAAAAATTGAGTGGGTGGATCTTCTTCTATCTTCTAGCCTTTTTTTATTGGCAGGAGCGAGAGCACCAAACTTGGGACCTTTGGCTGTACCTCAACCAGCAAGATCTAGTCCCTGCTCTGAACATCACTGATGGCGCTTTAAGAAAGGTGAAAAACAGAAGAACAGGTTGGAAGGGACCTTGGAGGTCTTCTAATCCAGGGGTCTCCAACCTTGGCAACTTTATGACTTGTGGACTTCAACTCCCAGAACTCTGGGAGCTGACCTCCACATGTCTTAAAGTTGCCAAGGTTGGAGACCCCTGTTCTAGTCCAACCCACTGCTCAAGCAGGAAAACCTAGGCCAGTGATGGCTAACTTTTTTTGTTCTCATGTGCCGAAATTGCACGTGTGCATGCATGTGCGTGCCCACACCCATAATGCAATGCTCCTTGTCCTTCTGGGCATGCACCAGGGGTGGGTTCCGCCGGGCATCCACCACATGCATGTACGCAGCATGTGGGCAACGCGCACATGTGTACTTACCGCCCGTGATGCTCCAGCTGTTTGGCAGAGCATTGCGCAGGCGCCGTATGCTCCGTGTGCATAAGTCCTGATCGGCTCAGGTAAGGAGGGCGGGCGTTTGGGCCTTCCAGAGCACCGTACCGGAACAGTACCTGGTGCTCCCAGCAGGCACCGGTACGCCTGTACCGGGGCGTACCGGTTGTATCCCACCACTGGCATGCACACACGACAACATCCACACTCCCCCACCCCCACGCATGTGCGCAACCTCCTACTTCCCATTTTGGGCCCAGCAGGCCTCCCTGAAGCCTCTTGGGACAAAAAATGTGCCACGGGGGAAGGGGGGCGCTCCCCCACTGCGCCCCATATTGGGCCTTGCAGGCCTCCCTGAAGCCAAAAAAGGGGCACAGGGGGATGTGTGGCAGAGACCCAAAAATTAGGTGCCCGGTGGAAGGCGTGTATGCATGCGCGGTGGAGCTAAGCTGGGCAATGGATTGTGTGCCCGACGAGAGGGCTCCGTGTGCCACCTGTGGCACGCATGCCAAAGGTTTGCCATCACGGCCCTATACCATTTGGTTGTCCAATCTCTTTTTTAAAACCTCCAATGTTGGAGCCTATACAACCTCTGGAGGTGGTTGCACAACAGATGCCTAGAGAGGGCCCAGCTGCCCCATCATGTTTTAGAACCAAAATATTTGGTGTTTCTTAGGTCCTAAGAATCATTTGGAATTAGGATACAAAGAAAAAAATATGTTTTTCTCAGCTCAGGATCCATTTCTTCTGAAGTACCAGAGATTAAACCCGCTGTTTACTCATTCAAAACAGGACTGTGTCCCTCTGGGCAATGAACTGAAGGGCTCACCTGATTTAGATCAGAAAGAGGTATCGAAAGGATGGTACTACTGTCCACCTCTCCCATGAGGAACTCAGAGACACTGGAATGGGGAAGAAAACAAAACAGGAAAAAGGTTGATATACTAGGAAATAACTAGCAAGTTAGTAGCAGCAGCTAAACCCATCACTGAGCCTCAAAAAGAGATTAATAGTGACATTTTTACTTGCCAGTATTGATTGCACAAACAACACTTGCTCCGTTCTTTAACTGTTTGAAACTGCAACTCCCATCATCCACTATCATAAATGGCTAATGATTGGGGTGGGGG